ATATATATATATATATATATATATATATATATATATATATATATATATATATATAGGTATTGGTGACACCATGGTTACAAGTTTGCGATTAGTGACTTTCATCATAATAAGCCATCATTATACTGGTTAAACATTCATATCTTCAATAGTATTCCAGATAAGAAAGTTATGCATTTTTAATGAGGTCAGAGCATGTACCCGAAGTTTTCAATAAACACTGGTTACTCGTTGAATGTCTCTATCTGCAATAGCGTTCCAGATATGATATTTATGCATTTTAATGCGGTCACATGACCACATACGTTTTATTTAATACGTTGAACAGAACAATAGTGCTACTGATATGACTCCGTGCAAATAGACGCTGGTCCGCACTATATATCCCGGTGATAATAAATCGACGGTATGTTAGAAATATTTCTTTATTGTAGGGAGTCATTCCCGCCCGAGAAACTGATATAAATGTAACATGCCATGATGTTTCGTGAGTGTGTGTATAATATCCCCGTTGATGGCGCTGTTTCTGAATGTAATTATATAGTACTAGTACCTCTGCCGCAACAGAAATTTCAATCAGATGTAACGACAGCGTTAGAAGCAGCGTTTGTACAACAACGCTCAACCTCATAAAAAATGACTCATATGGTCGTGTGTTCTGGTCCCGTTATTTATATAGTTTTGATTCTCCTGGCCACCACCAACAACATCAACGGCAGTTCCGAGGGTGACAATACTAGTATATCTAACGTCACCACCGACGCACCAACAAGTGAGAAAATACCTCTGGTGTTTATGGGGCTGATGTCGTGGAAAGTGCAACAGGGGTGGAATGGTGGAGGAGTGGTACCCGCGATTGAAATGGCTTTAAGTGATGTTAACAGTAGAACTGATATATTAGCCGGCTATGAACTCAAGGTGGTATGGGGCGACGATCAGGTAAGAAGCGTTTACCGTTCTAAGTGTATTCCGATTGTAAATACGAAATCATTGCGGCGAATATAAATGGATAATAACTTTATAGTAGTTTCACTGAAAACAACAAAAATGCGATGTTAATCCCAGAGTTAGCACATAGTTGCGCGTTTGCTGTATAAAACATCAGACATAAATTAAGTGGCGCTGAACTGTGGTCTCAATTGTATTCTGAGTTCATCCATACAATTTCGATAAAACGAGTTTGCCCTTTTTCTAGTTTACGCTGATTGTGTTCGTTTACTGGTAGCAGCAAGCAAACTTATCATTTGACACTGATTGAGATCGCAATATCCGTCACCACGTGTTTTATGTGTCATTGGAACTGTACGGGAAACGTATCCATCAATGAACACTGTCTTTCTAATGATGCAACCCTTGTGTTGTTGATCACGCGAATTTTGTGTGTAGACACACGTATACGTCGAATGGAACTCACACTACTTGCTGTGACGACTGTGCCGCTTTGAAATTGAAGTTATATGTCAACTTTCTGTTTCAATTCTGTTGGATACATCACCCACTTAGTTATTTTGAAGAAAATTTATTTAGGTGTCAATGTACACTGACAATATTGTGATCGAGTCGTTTATTCGATCGTATTTACTAATGTCACTGCTGTCGAATCATCAAAACACTGAAATTGTTCATTAAATTAGGTACACTGTAACTCGTTATCAAAACGAGACGTGCATTGATCAACAAAGAGACTGTCCAATTATTGTGACATCCATCCAAGCGTAAAATATAGCATTTCTTGAGTTTCAAGTCAATCGGAAAGTCGCCAAAAATAAGTACAATACTATGTTTTAAGCCAAACCATGCAAATAGAGATTGTTCAGAATTTGTTTGTGTTATTATGTCGTGAAAGTTTTATACTAATGTTTAAATAGCTAAAATCACATATCGATGTTTACAGTTACTGAAAGCTGTTTATCATATTTCAAGTAGATTGCAGCTGCGTTACCAAGTGCCAGTGATATGCAGAACATTTTGTACATACGTAATTTTCTGAGAGTAGTTTCTAAGCATTTTTTAATTACATTCTCATTATGCAAATTAAGCTCACGTGTGTATTTTTGTAATTGTTTAGATATGCCGAACTTGATACAATATTCCAGTCCGATATCTTTCAAATATAGGAGTTTCAAACAAGAGTCTATCAAACGTTGAAATTATCACCCAGTTGCTGAAAAAATAGCAACAGATAAAATGCCACTATTATGCCCATAATTTATGAATGTTGTTGTTTGTTCACTGCTAACGAAATATAATTTTATTAAAAAAAACAGACAAACATATAAACAGACGCAGAATTCTAAAAGTCTTCCGATAATCATTCCGACCACCTGTTTCAGCGGTTCTGAGAATCATTCAGTCAATTTATTGTTTTTGTTCAAATTAAACTTGACGGTGCTATTACATTGACACGTGCACAGCGTAGTACATTCCATTAGGAACAGAAAATTAGAAAATCTATGTACGCGATTGCAGAAAATTATGCAAAATATCTTTTCTTTCACTTATTTTCTGCTATTTCTACCATGGTGATTTCGCTGTATTTTTTAAAAATATTTTCACACTAGTACTGCATGTAGTATTTTCCCCTAAGAATTGGCGTGGAATTTGGATAACTCGGATGCGCATACAAATTTCGAGACTCAATCTAAAAAGGAATTATCTGGTGAAGTAACAGTGAAAACAAATAGAATGGATGAACAGCGAAAACATTCTTCTATATTTTAGCTTTCTTAAAACATACACGTAATCATAGTTACATTATTTTCTTTAAATGTGCAATCTAGACAAAAACAATTTTAATAACAACAACTATGAATTTAAAAAGCACGACTTATTGTGCTGCAAACTGTGATAATACCCGACAATAGTATAGATGAGGTTATCCCTGCCACACACGATAAGATGGCAGGATAGTTTTTTGGATCGTCCTTTTTTCAGATGAAATAAAAAAAAAACGCTTTTGAATTTACTCTATGTACTATCATATATATATATATTTATAATGTTACAATAACGTTTTTCTGTGAGAACATAACCATCTCGAGTTGGTGTGAATGTATATTAACATTTACGTCTGTCAATTACACCTATCGATACAAAATGTAATTTTCAATGAAAATGTAACTCCTGAAACCGACCAAAACACAAAACAACCATACTCAATACAAATACTTTGAATTTAATAGTAGTTATTGATGGGTATTATTGTAATTACAGAGGACCGTGAAATATGGCCTTCTTTACAATGTTAACAGTTCACTTAATTACTACACTACTATCAATTGGTGACACACATAATGATTTAGATTGATAGAGAATTATTAGGGTGGAATAAAAAGATTACTATATGTTTTTATATAGTAAAAGTGGGTTTACAATTAAATATTCAACCATATCTTTAAATATATCACTGATATACGAACTACGATCATTATTATATGTAGATTTGTTCATATATACTATATCAGATGTATATGCAGTAAAATTATTATACATATCACGTCAATATAAACGATGCTTCTAAATAAGCGCCTTGGTAACATTATTGGACCCAATTTTATTGTTGAAAATTTTCTCATGTTGAGGTTTAATGTTAAAATGTCAATAAGCAAATCTAGAAATACCATCATACCGTTTATCATCAACACGACTACCAAGCTGATTTGACTATGTAATGTAATGTACTGTAGTATGTCAGTAGTTATATTTTGTCTATCATTTGTTTTGTATTCTTGAACTCGTAAATTTCCCTACACAGAGCCTGTTTACAGATCATACTTATTAACATTCTATTTGACTTTTTTGGCTTTTTTGCCACCTTTAAAATCATTTATTTTACTTGAATACAGTTTTGTATGAATGCTCATGATTTTTTAAATCATCAAATACGTTTTCATTACTAAAATAATCAACTGTTGATTTATCAAACATATATTCACCTTTAGTATTTATCTTATAGGTTAGGAAGTCAGTATCTGAAAATAATAGTTGAGTTTTAGTTTTGTATTTCATTTGTATATAGTTGTAATACAAGTATATGACATTAATGTTAACATTATATGCCAACGTGATTGAAATTCTTTAATCTTATATACAGTTACAACATTTTTATTATATATTTTACATCCTAAAATATAGGTTTACCAACATTTTTTTATTTTTTTGCTTTCATTAAATTAAACATCTATTCTCTTTTGTAAATTTAATTTATGATGATGGCAACTGCTTGTCACGTGTTTTCATTTATGTATTGTTTGTTTGAGCATGTAAAATAGCACCTTTATCACCTCGTATGCCCTCTACTATGATATCAACATATCAATATCCGTCAATGTTTCTAAAATGTTAATATATAAATAAATTATCATATAAACATGTAAACCATACCAAACTATAAAAAAAACTACAATGTTATAGCAGGGCTGACTATTCTTTACTTGGCTCACTGTCTTCTCACGTCTTCTGTCTTCGCCTAACCTGAAAGTCAACAATAACTCAGATGTTAACGTCAACAACAACTCAGATGTTAACGTCAACAACAACATGCACGCTTCATACAAGAGTCAGCTTAGTAGCTAGCTTGCTCCATTTTTGTAACACATTTTTAGTTTCCGTTTAACACCTTTATTCAATGTGACTATTATCTAATTAGTTATTTTCATTGTGTTATGTTTTATTTAATTAGCGTTTTTTTTATTGTGTGTCTAACTTATCTGTCCAAGGAACAGCCTTGGTTGAATGACTGAATCTTGCGGTAATGCGAACAGTTCCCACGACGATATCCTGTATAAATGTCGTTTTATTTAGAAATTCTCCCAAATAAGCGTATGTACCGAAAAACAATGTATATTCAAATTAATGATGTGACTTCTCAACAATATCAGTCACCAATTATCATTTAATATCTGCTATTTAAGGTGATATTATCCCATATTTTGCAATTTAAACATTCTTCATATTATAAGCATGATGACAATCTTCATTTGATTTATATAAATGGTGTTTTTTTGACCATATAATCATATTTTTTTTATACCGGTATGTTTATACTTCAATGCGTTATCAATAATACTAAATGTCTACCATGCATAAAACCATATGCCACATATGATTCCTTATTTAATGGAGTGAAATTAATATTCATATTAAATTTATGTCGCTCTTGTGTGATGCAAAGTGTTTTTTAAAGTCTAAACTACAACTCACAAAAAACAAGAGAATTGAAGATATTGATAGACTCCCATGAGCACTACCTCTACGTTTCCGAGTAACATGATAGTGATCTTTAATGTCATCCATTTCATATTGTTTATTAGAATATACTAAACTATTTATATCTACTTTATGTCATATTCATATTCATATTATTATTAAAATCTAATGTTATTTAAACTATTTTATTTCATCCAACGCCTTTTTTCCAAAAAATATTAACAGTATTTAGACATTTATAAATATTTATATGTTCGCTGTATTTATCATAACAACTTAATACTTTATGTCCATAAACACAATCAAAATGTTTTTATTTAGTGTAACTGTACTAACCTTCTGTGATTTTTCCGAAATCTGTATAAATCACAAAATGAAGATTCAATTGTTTACAAAAATTTGTATAATTAAGATTGATTGCCAGTAATTATTATACAATTAGGTTTATGTCTCTTTAATATCTCTTAACTTCAAAAATTTTATTATTATCATTCTTGATAATAATTATTTCATTCACACTATGATGAGATATTGTCTTCTTACAGTGCAGAGACGTCTTTGTCGTATCGTCAGTTCCAATCTCGTGTGTTGCGTGTTTATATGTTCCTAATGTTCCTGTAAATAGTTTCAAACAGGTGCTTTTAACAACGGGTAGACATGAACTTGGCTCGAGGTCAAACATAACTGGACAGGTCGTTCTAATAATGATATTTGTCATTTCATCAGTTCCATTTCTTATCTCTATACCAGAGGCCCAAT